CCAAGTCGTCCGTAACTGTTTTCACGCTGGATCCGAAGGAGTTTAATCGTCATCCGGCCATCCCCGTCAACGGTGCGTCCTTACCGCTGGTCCCCAAGCCCAAGCTCCTTGGCGTGCGTTTCGGTCCGCTTTTCGCGTCCGCAGACCATGCCAGGGAGGCCGCAGGCATAGTGAGGCGCTGCGCCTAGGTCATCAAGGCTCCAGCTGGCACATCCTGGGGCTGTGCGAAAGAGAATTTGACGACTACGTTTAAGGCGCTGGCCAAGCCGCACTTCACTTATGCGACAACAAACTGGTCTTCTACGATCAGCTCTTCCAGCCTGCGCCGCCTCCAGTCAGCACAGAACGCTGCCCTCCGCACGATCACGGGTTGCCATAAAATGTCGCCTCTCGATCAACTTCATGCAGATGCTTCTGTCCTGTCGGTTCTGGTGGACTTGTTTGCAACCCGGCCATCCCAATTATCACGGTTGCAACGCTCATGAGCCCAGCCGCAACGTCCGGCCGTCTATCCGAATTCTCAACAAGGAAGCTGTCGCCTCGTCTCTTTCGGAGCTACCGGTTGATAGCTCTGCCACCAAGACAGGCTTCCAATTTTTCCCACCAGAGAGCCGTTGTCGAGGAGAAACGAGGTTACCATCCCCATGGTCCTTTTGGGTGGCTATCCACTTCCGATTGCGGCCTCAGAACATCTCCCGAGGGTCACTCGCTGTACTCTGGCTCAACTGTGCAGTGGCTACTCAATGGTCCTCCGCCAGTATCAACGTCAGCTCTACCCGTCCACACCCGACTGCTGTCCCGACTGCGGCGCTTCTCCGCATGACTATCAGCATCCTGCCTGCAGTTCCCTGCCAGGCACCCACCTCACTCTTACAGACCTTTGGCTCAAGCCGGTAGAGGTCTCGGCTTTTTTCCGTTTTCCAACTACTCCCAGTTTGGATTCCGGTGGGGATTCCTGATCCAACAATGGGCCACACCAAACATACACACACCTGACGAAGCTAGCAGATGCGCAAGCGCTTGGTGACTCCATAATTAAAATGCGTGCGTCTTCTTCGCTTCAGCTGCGCGAGGTCCCCCTTCCGGCATCTCCAGGGACGATCGTGTGCGACTGATGTACATGTACCCCTCGTCCTGTCGTGCCACAATCATATCATAAGGTCCTGTTCGATCACTTCCAATCCTTGTCCCAACCCGGCGTTCGCGCCGGTCGCAAGCTTATTTCGGCACGTTTCGTCTGGCCGAAGATGAATGCTAACATCGTGCTTTGGACTAGACAGTGCTTAGCCTGCCGAAGAAACAAAGTCCAGCGCCACACGATTTCCCCTCCGAGCACCGTTGCAGTTCCCGACGTTAGTTTTCACCACGTCCACCTAGACTTAGTCGGACCGTTACCTCAATCGCGCGGATTCACTCATATGCTGATCGCTGTCGATCGCTTCACACGATGGCCCATCGCCTTTCCCACCTCCAATACCTCGGCAGATAATATTGTAATGGTTTTACTTACGCCCTGGATAGCCAATTTCGGTGTCCCAGCTACAATCACGGCTGACCGCGGAAGTCAATTTACTTCTGCGCTTTTCGATAAATTCACTAGACTGCTCGGGTGCGCGCATATCCCAACAACTGCATATCACCCAGTGTCCAACGGTCTCGTGGAGCGCCTCCAGCGTCAGCTCAAGTCTGCGCTGATGTCTCACCCCGTCCCACACAACTGGAGCGACAATAATACAAACATACAATCAGAAATACGCTCAGCTGTCAAGGAGGACATTTATTGCACCACCGTCGAACTCGTTTATGGCACACCCATTCTCCTGCCCGGTGAGCTCGTGTAGTTTTCCCCCATCAACATCGATGCCGCGAATATTTTCCTGCAACAGCTGAAACAGCGCATGGTCCAACTGCGTCCGTCTACCACGCGGCCGACACCCCGACGCGTGTTCGTGCACGA